GCCGCCAGCGCGCGCGCTCCCTCCTGCTGCCGCCTCCGCCCCACGCTACTCCTGCAGCCTCCTCCTCTACCTCCTCCCTCCTGTCCTTGGTCCGCTCCTCCCTCAGCCGGCGCTCCACAACCCTGCTGTGAGCGCGCCTGAGTGCTGGGCTTTGCAGATGCAGAGACGAGCCAGGCCAGCTCCTGCCCCCAGAGGTAGCAGGTCCAAGAGAGGCAACAGAGACTTCCTTCCTGGAGGAGGCGACAGGCAGATCCGCTGAGGGATGATTAGGACTGAACTTGGGCAGGAGGGAAAATGATGTTCCAGGGTGCACAGGCCTGTGCAGTGTGTGCAAGGGATGGGGAGGGGAGGATAGGGTGTGGGGTTCCAAGATGCGGATAATCATCGAGAAGCTGTGGGCACCAGGCAGGACCTCTCCACCTGTCAGCCACTCTGGCCGGGATATTACAAATCTGTGTGGCTGTGCTGTTCTCATTCTGCACCCATTTGCACCCACGTCACATGGTCGTTCGATCACGGGCCGGGATATGAGGCCCGTGGCTTGGGCACAGTACACAGACCATTTCATTCATCCTTATTCAGTATACTCCACAGGCCTACACAGAGCAGCAATCAGGGGGACCCCGGGGAAGACAAGGTAATTCTTGCCATGATGGAGAAAGATCAGGTCTTGGGAGCCCACAGATGGGATGACTCATCCCTGCCTGTGGCTGCTGACAGTTCCCCCTCTGGAAATGAGAAACTTTTTCTGGAGGGTTGCTGCCCCACTTCACCCACGAGGGGGAAAAGGGGTGCAGAGAGCAGAGCTGGGATTAGACTCGCACAATCTTCTTAGAAAATGAGATTTCAGGGCATTGGTCAGTGGATAGCAAGAGCCCATGTCTGCCCTCCCCTCCTCTCTTGCCCCTTTATTTCCCCAGCAGATGGGTGGGAGCTGTTAGCCCTAGGCCTGGAAACCATCCTATCTCATCAGCAGCTTCCTGAGGGGTATTAGGGCCTTTGCAGCCCGGTGGCAATGTTCTGGGACCTTCCCAGAAAGGTTTAGACCCCTGGGGGCCCAGCAGGTTGCTCTTGCCATTACTCTATTTCCTGTTTATTCAGTCATTCAACAAACACATTGGGGTGGTGTTCTGTGCCAACCATGTTCTGGGCCTGAGAGTAATCAAGGTACATCAGACTTGGTGTCACCCCCAGAGGGGTCAGTCCCTGATCATCAGCACATAGACGATGACATGCAGGCTTACTCTCAACAAGACTCCCAGCACTGTTCAAGGCTCAAGGATACCATGTAGATAGATACAGTCCCTGCTTGCTCTCCTAAAACGTATGTCTTAGTTAGGAGAGAGAAACGTGAAACAAGAAATCAGAAAAGGACTATTTCAGATCATTGTAACTGCTGTGGAAAAAGAAATGATACGTGACCTGAGAGTGATGGGAGTGAATTTACAGAAGGTGATCAGGAAAGGCCTTGCTGAGGAGGTGACATTTTGCTGAATGTCAAGAAGGTGCTTCATGACCACATGAAGATCAGGTAAAGGGCATTCCTGGCACAGACCTTAAGTGGGGCTAGAGCCTAGTGGTGGAAGAGGTACCCACCTTACCAGATGAGGCTGGAGACAGTCAATGAGGCCCGGTTCACATGAGGGCTTTGCAGCCCCCAGCAAGGAGTTTGGCTTTTGCGTTAAGCACAGTGATGCCCACTGTGGGAGCAACATGCCAGAATGGTGGGACCCAGGAGGTAAGTCCTTCCTGCAGCCCAGACTGACCTGTCCAGCTCAGTCCCTCCTCCATTCTGTGGTCTTGGGAAAAGTCAGTGGCATCTTTGAGTTTCACTTTCTCATCTATGAGATGGAGGAGATGGAGAATTCCTGAGATTCATCCAACGTTGGGTGTAAGTTGAAGTTCAGAGACAGCAGGAAGATTGAGAGCGCGGGCTTTGGGGTCAGACACCTGGGTTTGCCTCTCTTCCTTTCCTCTCTAGTTGGGAGAACTTTGGCAACTCAGCCTCTGTGGCTCGGTTTCTATATCTGAGAAATGGGAATGGTGATGGTGTCATCTGGTTGATGAAATTGAGTATGCACAGCATAGAGTATATGCACAGTATATGCTATATAGGTGCATGATAAATATTAGTTATTGTTATAATTATCCAAATGTAATTCCCTATCCACAAAGCCCTGGTGGCTTTCCAACACCCAGAGAATCAAGATTGAGCCCAGACACTCCCCAACCTCCCCCAGGGGAGTTTTTGCTCATACTGTCTACACACACACACACACACACACACACATATCTTGTCCCTCAACGGCCCCCACAGCAGAGATTCTCCTGGCTCTTCTCAGCCCCCATGCAGTTTGGGGCCACTTCCCTGGGTCCCTGCAGTCCCTAGGCATCCCTTTGTCACAGCCCTGATCACTCTATGCACCTGTCCCCCTAGTTAGCCTGTGAGTAGCCTGTGAGTTCCTGGAGGATTGGAACCAGCTCTCCTGTATTCCTAGGTCCCTGGCACAAGGGATATTTGACCAATGGTTGTTTCTGCCTTCACTGAAGGTCTTCCTGCCTTGGACTCCCAAAGTGTTGGGATTACAGGTGTGAGCCACCATGCCTGGTCCCACTATTGTTCAACCTTTGGGCCTCAGCCCACATGCCTCCTCTTCTGGAAGCTTTTTAGCCTTCTCCACAGAGATCCTCCCCACTCCTCTCGGCTCCCCCAGCACTGTGTGTCCTGATTTCCCTGATCACACTGGGCTATGGTTGTATCCTCCACCCAATGGGGAACTCTTCAAGTCAGAAACTAGGTCATCCTGGACCTTGCTGTGTCACCAGTGATGTCTTCTTAAAGGACGGGGTGCCCTAATGAATTCTCTCCAAGACCAGGGCCACTGGGCCTTCTGCACACAGCTCACCCACTCAGTCCTGGCTGTCCCTGTGCTAAGCAAGGGACTCAGACAAACACCACTCCACCCCTGCCCTTGAGGATCTCTGGTCTGGAGGCAGAGATAGCCTCGGACAGACAATGTCAGCACAGAGGGGGAAAGAGCCCCAGGGAGGGGGCTGCTCAGGGGCACCCAAGGCTGGTCACCAGCCCAGGGAGATCCAGAGACCTGCAGCCCTGAGCCAATCAGAGCCGAACTGCCCGGCAATGGAGCGCTCCCCAGCATGCTCCTTTCACCCCACAGAAGCGTAGCCCTGTCCTTCATGTGAGTCCACTGCCCAGTTCTTCTTGTCACTATCACTCTATATTTCTCTGTCTCTCTCTGTCTTAGCAGGCAGAGTGTTTTGCTCAGAGAGAGAGAGACATTCCTATAAAACAGATTCTAAATCATTACATGAACTTTATATAGATCCAAATTACTATAGTTTCAATCACTTACTACCGGTGTCATCCAGGGCAAGTTACTCAAAATTTTTGGCCCTCATTTTTTCCATCTATAAAATGGGGATGATAATGTTACCTAATAGTATCAATTATCTATTGCTGCATATCAAATGACCCCCTCATTCAGCAGCTTAAAGCAACAACAAACATTTATTATCTTTCACAGTGTCTGTGGGGCAGGAATTTGGGAGCAGCTAAGCTGGGTGGTTCTAGCTCTGGCTCTGTCAGGAGGCTGTAGTCGTGATGTCAGCCGGGCTGCAGTTCCCTGAAGATATAACTGGGGCTGGGAGGTCTGGGTTGGCTCACCCAAATGGCTGGCAAGTTCTTATTGGTTGTGGCAGAAGGAATCAGGTTTTCTCCTCATGGATCTTGCCACGGGACTGCTAGAGTGTCCACACGACATAGCAGCTGGGTTTCCCTAGAGTGATCGGGCCAAGAAAGAGAAAACAAGGAAGAAGTCACCATGTCTTTTTTTTTTTTTTTGAGACAGAGCCTCAAGCTATGCCCCTGGGTAGAGTGCCATGGCATCACAGCTCACAGCAACCTCCAACTCCTGGGCTCAAGCGAGTCTCCTGCCTCAGCCTCCCAAGTAGCTGGGACTACAGGCGCCTGCCACAACGCCCGGCCATTTTTTGGTTGCAGCCATCATTGTTGTTTGGCGGGCCCAGGCTGGGGATTCGAACCCACCACCTTAGGTGTATGTGGCTGGCGCCTTAGCCGCTTGAGCCACAGGCACCAAGCCGAAGTCACCATGTCTTTCATGACTTAACCGTGGAAGTCACACTCCCTCATTTTTGCAATATTCTATTGGTTACAGAGGTCAGCCCCATTCTATGCTGGAAGGGACCACACAGGAGTGTGACTCCTAGAAGGTGGCAGCTGCTGGGGCTGTCTCATAAGATTCATAAGAATGAAATAAGTTAATAAAATCCTCCCTCAAGATCCATGGGGGACTGGTGCCAAGATGCCCTCAGATGTTCAAACCAATGAACGCTCAAGCCCCTGATGTAAAATGGCTTACGTAGCATTTTCACGTAACCCACACACATCCTCCTCTGATAACATCTCTGGATAATTCATAATATATATATGCTATGTAAATAGTTGTTATACTGTATTGAGTAGGAAATAACGACAAGGGGGGGGAAAGCCTGTACATGTTCAGTACAGATGCGCTTTAAAATGTTTTTAATTTTTTTTTCAGATGCATTATTTTTTCCTGAATAATTTCGATCCACAGTTGATTGAATCCACTGATGTGGAACCCACAGATATATGGAGGGCCAGCTATGTATATAAAGCTCTTAGCAGGAGGCCAGG